TTGTTGGGCTTGAATCCTATTAGGCCTGTTTAGTAGCCCCGTAACTTGTACTTTAGCCGACTCTCCCAGTCGCGCTACTAAACGCGCTTTGTGTCGAGTCGTTTCGATAGTCCCCGATGGGCCGAATATACTATCATGTTGGGCTAGATTTCTCCATTTGATGGGCCTTGTGGTGGGGTGTAACCCATCCCCTACAATATATGCTTATGCTGCTAAGTTATTGTGTCCGGCAAACAAGTCTAGGAACTGAAGTAAATGGTAGGAGCCGCGCGAACGCAGACTCCCTCTGCCACAAATAATGACACAGGCTCTCCCACTTGGGGAGACCTTAAGCTAAGCACCCCTCCTTAGAGTGCAATGGAGGTCACTAGCCTAGGCCACTCATCTTCTTGATCATGAGTTGACCCTGTCCAGGTAAGTGGATTGCTCGTTCAGTCCACTTCCCTTCTTATACTCTCCTTCGCGAGTCTTTCTTTCTATTGTAAGCGATGTGGGACTATTTGGGAGCAAGTTTCTAACCTACAATATACATGAGCTGATATTATAGGCCCAGTTACGTGTTTGAACCATTTCTGGACACTCGCAACTTCGTTATCGCATGTAATTTAAGCTCATCCTTTATTCGTATCGTTGCGAGTCCAATATTTATTTTCGATCAACAGAATGTCACATACTTGGTTTTTACATGAAATCTATAGTTGATCCCTTTGTTAACAAACAACAACCTACAGCTCTTGCCTACTGTGAACTGATCTTTTATATAAAAAATACAACTTGCAGATTTACTCTGATGATTCTTGTCTTGACTGGATTTTACAGAATATTGAAAAGCAATCTCTTTTACCTGAGTATAAACAGAGAAAACTTGAAACATTCCGGTAGGCTCTCTACTATTGTTACATCATTCACCCACCTGTAAAAATGTTACAGAGTTGTTGTCTATTTTTTGCTAAAATAACATAAATATGAAAAGTTTAAGTTTACAAAAAGCCTGTTTTTGTGTGTTTCCTTGGCAAAAAAAGTTTAAAAAAAAGAAAAAGAAAAAAACATAGTTGTTGTTGATTTACGGTGAAGCTACCGAATCCACAGTGACATAAGAGAAATAAAAAATTTCTTATGTCTTCTCGCCATTATGGTGTTACTCACATCTCTGTCCAATGATTCGAAGGTGACATGTACCGAGGTGAAGGCGTTGTTGTGCAGAGTTGTTGTTTATGTATAGCAACAACTGATTTAGGGAAGAGTTCAGACAGAGCAGAATAATGTTAGGGAACTTTGTAATAAACGAGTGAAGATAGCTTGTACATAAAGATTCAGTATAGCTTCGTATGGATTGGTGTTCGTACATTTACATAACATCCTTTTGAACTTAAACAAAGATGCATTATTTGAACCAAGATAGAAAAGACAAACAAAATCCCTTTAAGATCATAGGTTTAGAAACAAAACTTGAACTAGAGAGATTGTAGGGCTTTACCCCGAAGGGATCCCTTCCAGAAATTCTCGAAGGTCCAAGACAAAGCTTAGACCTAAGAGGGGGTTTGGAAATAGTTTTCAACCAGCAATAGACGCGCCTCGGTTAGTACCTCATTAGCTGCGTCATTGCCCCAAGCGCAAAGATGGGTTGTAAGAAGTGAGAGCCTCTTTATTTTATAGTCCAAACAAAACCAATCCACGTGATATATGCTTCCGATGTGGGAGTGTGGATTTGTAGAACCAAATCAGTTATTATCTTTGTGCATTTATAATTGTTCTCATGTCTTCACATAAATACAAATTACCAAACACTTCTTTATACAATGGAATTACAAACAATTGTGTAACTGATAAAAAGTTTAAAACTACAAATCGATGGTAGTGTAGCATGGTGTATATGATTATTAAAGACTATTTTTTGTTGTTCGAATAAGTATTTTATGTCTTAACAACAAGAAGAACAGATGATAATAGTTCATTTAGAGAATCTCAAGCACAGAGACACACAAAGATGAGTAGCCGTACTTGAAGACGCTCATGCTTATCTACATGTATGAGGACGATTTCAACGAAAGCCACTTTCCTTTGTTACATGCCTCCATGGCATAGTGGATTAAGTATGTCCAAGAAAAAACAATTTTTAACTTTTTTTTTCTCCATATATTGTTCTAAAGCTTTCAGTTCTGCCTAGAAATGTGATAGGAAAAAGATTCAAAACTGCAATGGACCAAAACAATTGTTAACTTTTGTTCTGCATATATTGAAGAGCTTTGTATTGAAGAGTCAAGAGAAGACATGAATAAATGAGTATTATTTATCTTATTGAACACATACTTTCTCTAGTGAGCACTCGATTTATCTGTAGACTGTAAGAAAACAACAACAGAATAAGTGTACGTGTTTCATTTACATATATGCATTGAGTTCTTAAGATCTTCAGTCTAGATTCTTTATGTTCTGTTATGTAAAGAGGTCTTTGTTATTTGGACAATGCATGGAAGAATACAAATTAAATATTGAACTATGAAAAACAAAGACCAAATAACAAATTAAACAAAGAGGATAATAGTTCATTCAGAGAATCTCAAGCACATAGACACAGAGAGATGAGACGCTCATGCTTATCTCCATGTATGAGGATGATTTCAGCGAAAGCCACTTTCTTTTGTTATATGCCTCCATGGGATTATGTATGTCCAAGAAAAAACAATTTTTAACTTTTGTTTTCTCCATATATTTTTCTAAAGCTTTCAGTTCTGCGATAGAACAAAGATTCAAAACTGAAATGTACCAAAACAGTTGTTAACTTTTGTCTCCTGCATATATTGTTTTAAAGCTTTCAGTTCTGTCTGAAATTATTATATAAAAATTATTATATAACAAAGATTCAAAACTGCCATGGATAACAAAGATTCAAAACTGTTTTAAAGCTTTCAGTTCTGTCTGAAATTATTATATAACAAAGATTCAAAACTGCCATGGATGGTAGGAGCCGCGCGAACGCAGGCTCCCTCTGCCACAAATAATGACACAGGCTCTCCCACTTGGGGAGACCTTAGGCTAAGCGCCCCTCCTTTATGTGCAATAGAGGTCACTAGCCTAGGCCACTCATCTTCTTGATCATGAGTTGACCCTGTCCAGGTAAGTGATTTGCTTGTTCACTCCACTTCCCTTCTTATACTCTCCTCTGCGAGTCATTCTTCATAAGTGCAAACGATGTGGGATAATGGAACACATCTAACTACTAGCACAAGCCTGAAATGGGTTGGGTATTGAACATATGGCCCGGACATAAAGGCCCATAAATGAAAATATGGGGAGTGTGTTGAAAGAAAGATAAAATTGTCTTTGAAGGAAAGAAAGATTGTATATGCTAACAATCTTCTACAATCAAACTTGCGAAAATGTATCATAGGCAGAAAACGTACGAACATTTTAAATCATCGATCAAATATATGTTATTATAGTGACCCCAGTGCCAATCTTAGACAAGGGTGTCTAACGATCTGAGTTTGGAATATGAAGATATTGATCTGATCTAATCAGCTTCATAAAAAGAATGTAAGTCCAATTTATTCATATAATTTTCTGAAAGTACGTCTTACATTTCCGAATCCCGTATACTGCAAACAATCCCAAGTCTTGGGGATTATATAAACAAGAATGAATTCATTTCGAAAGCACCAAAAACAAGGATTTAAGAAACATGAAAAAATGTCACTAGTAGCTATGAAATGCCTATAATAAGAGAATGAGCAATGATAAAAGAGCTTTTTTAGTCTTTGGTCAAGTTGTCGGGCTTGAGAAATTTGGGGTAGCGATCGGTAGCTCCGGTTTTGTGATCGTAGTACTCAACAACAGCTGCTCCAGCTAGAGCGGCTAAGGTCAGAGCCTGAGCGTGCAGCCTGAGAATACAATTCAATACAGAATATGTGTGAGACATGTAATGGTGAAGAAGAGATTTACTATCATCATTATCTTTTCATGATGCAATGTAAAGGAGGTCAAAAGACAATCAACTAAAAAAAAAAAGACTTATCATCATCGTGCATTTGTGATATACATCCAACAACCTAAATATTTGTGAATAATATGTTTATAAGTACAAACGAAGCGTACATGCAAGTGGAAAGTATAGTATATATGATTATATATTGGAGACTCGACTTGTTGTTGGCTCGAATCAGTATTCTACATGATCTAACCAGTGAAGAAACAAGGAGAGCAAAGGATAATAATTCATTTAAGAGAATCACAAAAGCACACACAAAAGAAGATATAGAAGATTAACCATTCTTGAAGCTCCTGTTTTTCTACATGATGGAGGTGATTATGCAAATTTCTAATGGTTTCTTAACTAATTAAATTCGATGCATGTTTCTTAACCATTAAAAAGAGAGATTAAGAGAAACAAAGTGGTGTACCTGGCGTGGATGATTCGGACACTGGTTTTCATACCAGGTTTGGACCAGTTATAGGCGATTGAACCAGAGATCCCACTCAGCCATAAACAACCTATATCAACCACACAGACAAACGCGTCACGGAGAATTCGAAGCAAATATGAAATTCAATTTTGGCACAAAAAGACCTAAATAATAAAAATTGAGATCTAAAACATTTGGAGGAGAGGAATAATACAGATGAAGACGACATATAGCCAAAACAGATCTATAAAACATTCGATTTTGATATTACCAACGGTACGAAGCTTGTGTTCAACGATCCATTCCCTTATTTCTGCCATTTTTGTCTTTGATTCCGCCATTGCTGTTAAATAAATAAAACGAAGCTGGAAAGGAGAGCGTAAGAAAAAAAAAAAAGGAAAGAGATTGAGGAAGAAGAGTTGAAAAGCGCGTTTGGCCGTGGTTTTAAAGCGACCAAAGGCGGAAAAACCTGAGCAAGAGAAACCCAATTTGCTAACTTGCGCTTCACCTCGCTGTCTTCTGATACGTGTATTTTTTTTCTTTTTTATTAATTACTTGTAATAGTTTTTTTCATTTTCGTACCGCCTGATCTCTTATTTTGCTCGTTTGCAAAGCTTGCATTGCATGAACCTCCGTAGACGTTATCAAAGCTTGAATATAAGACTTGTCCCATTGCGAGATTTACGCACGGTTCCAAGCCAATATACATAATAGAGTTGCCTTGTTCCTATAGTTAGCTAGTCTCATGTTGCGACTGATAAACCAAACAGCTTCCATAGTTACTTGAAAATAAGACAGTTACAAGTTTTAACAACGAAGGAAAAGAAAAACAAACAGCCAAGTTACTGAGAACCACTAAACCTTAGTTCCAAGAGCATATGATCATCGCTTTTAAACACAAATTAAAAACACAGCACAACAAGTCTCTCCTCTTTTTCCTGGATTTGGCGCTTTCCTTTCTTCTCTACCCAAATGTTGAAATGAGGAAGTTCTTGTATATGCTCATAAACTTGGCCACAAACGCTGCAGTGTTAACACCCACCAACATCAGCACCCATTTATTTAACAACCCAAATGCAATAAACAGTTTATACATTACCTTCTATGTGAAAAATGGCTTTCTGTCCTAATCTCATCCGATGTTCCTGTGACAAGAAGCCAAAATACACCATCATCAAGACAGCTCAGTGTCAAATGAGAACACATATGTTGATAAATTGCGTGGTATACAAATAATCTTACATAATATGCGGCCCAGTGGGAGACTTCAAGCTTTAGCTCTGAGTCCAGTTTCCTCAGCAATTCATGAAGAAGTCTCTGTAAAAGTATTAAACTATGTGTAAAAAGGCACACGAATAATATAATTGGGTATTTTTTTGTTTGAAACCTTCAGTATGACTTCTGGTGGAATGCAATTAACTAGCAGCTCGTATACCTTCCCGCGCACCTGAAACAAACTGAAGAAGCACACGAGAAAATGATTAGATGAAGGGATGGTTAAATCAACAAACTGTAAAGCCAAATGGTTTCCTAAAGTGCGACCTTTTAGGGCTCTGTTCCCTCAGCATGTCAGTTGCTATTTCAGAAACATACTCTTCCCAATCCATGGGAGATATCACTTGTTTATCTGTGAACGGGTAACTACAACGAGAGAACATGTTAATTATTTTTCAAAACAACAAAAGGAATGAATCAGATTTATTGATTGTCTGCATAGATACATTTAATGATGCTTACTTTTGGACACGACAAGTCTCAAGTGACAGAATAGCTCTTCTAAGACTGCGATTTGATTTTTCAGCAATACGAGCAGCAAAACCGTGGGGTAGTTGCAGGCTTTCTTTCTTTGCAACGAACTCCAACACTTTCACTATCTGGAAACAAAGAACATTTATTTATTTTTCTGCAAGAAAGTTTAGACAGGCTAAATTAAGCAAACACTAAATCTTATGTCGATCTTCCAGATATCAGATTCTTTATATTATATTTTTATATCAAAAAGAACAAACTTGCACATCTCAGACATGCTACAGGACAGATACTCATGAAAGATTTCTCATAAAGGATACAAGTTTTAACTTGTGTTCTAGCCAGTTTAGCTTGAAGTACACAGTAGGAAGGGACTACGATGTCAGAATTGATTTCTATGATGATCTACGGAAAACGAAATGCTTCCACAGGATGGGCATTTAAAAGATTCTTTGGTTGGTTGATTATTTAAGCGAAGTGTCTAAACTGAGAGAAACAGCTTCTGTACCTCTTCCTGCGAAGGTGCATTTATCCGCACATTGAGACAACGAGACTTAATGGCTTCTGTGACCTTTGAAGAACTGTTACAGCATAAGATGAGACGGCAAGATGAGCTATACTTCTCCATGGTTCTCCGCAGAGAATGTTGTGCTTCTCGTGAGAGCTTGTCAACTTCATTTAGTACCAACACTGCCAAAACAAAACAAAAAAATCATGCGTTTGCGCACACGACCTAATACTTTCCCGTATATCGGCCATCATCCAACACTAATATGTGCAAGAAGTAAATTATCTGAGAACGGCATGTAGCGAAACATAGACTAGAAACGAAGTAAGAGACGAGGGATAAGTTGATACTTGATAACCGAGAACATATAACCATCTAAATGTATAATGAAGACATTCAGTTGAACATGAAGCCTTAAGTCTAAAAATACGAGGCAACAATCTAATCGATCATGAAACAAAAACTATTATGAACCATAAAATGTAGACCAAGTCAACCACAGTAGCATCTAGGTGGAAGATGACATCTAATTCCCATATTGTCACTCTTTCTAGACTCCTCAAAGAACTATTATCAGTTCTCGACATAAAAAATGTCGTCACTAATGATAATGTAGTGAAACATTAATGCAGAACAATAATTATTACCCTTGTATCCCTTCTTTCCTTTGGTGTCAATTGGTCTGTTCTTGGCCATTTCTTTAATGATCTCTTGAACGATGTATCTGTCCTGAAAGCCTGCATCACTTGGAGTAAGCTCCACATGATTGGTGCTTGATAATGTAGTGAGCTCCAGATCAATAGTTCTACTCCCAGCCTGCATTTTTCAAAAGTTAGCATAACAAAAAGATAGAAACTTGAATTTTTTTTAGAAAATGAAACAGAAATTGATTAGAAGTACGGAGATTAAGACACTTCTGGGTATGGCTTAGTGGGTTTCATACATATTAATAATTTGAGACAACAAAACTGAAAATTCTCACAATATTTTCATGCTTAAAGGGGAAGAATCAATCGAAAAGGACCACCAAAAGAAAATGATAGCAAACCACAATTCACATCTCTCAGTTAACAAATACAATAATACACTGAAACATGATTTACTGATCAATCACAACAAGGGCAAAAGACGAATATGGATATCAAGCAGAGAGAACTTAATAAGTTAAAAAAAAAGCAACGAAAACAAAAAAAACATGTACAACTCACATCAACTTTCCATGCCCTGTTCTCCACTTTCACCTGCATAATAAAAATGGAAAAGTAGCAATCAGCAGACGAAAATCAATCAAAAAAATCCAATACAGTGTTAGTGATAGTGAGAGAGAGTATATGAACCACATCTCTACATGCTAAAACAGACACTTTGCTTAACAGCAATAGTGTTCAAAGTCGTCATCTTTTGTTATGACCAAACTTAACCCAGAAAGAGAAAAAAAAACAAAGGGAAAGAAGGATACCTTCTCAGCACTGGCACCATAAATCTGCTTGAGAAGCGCCATGATTAGGGTTTTCTTTCCCGAACCTGACGGCCCATAGAACAGCAAATGCGGACAATCTTGCTCCGTTACCTACGCAGAGAATCAAAATTAACCTCCCAAAACATTGAAAAAATCAAAACTTTGACCTAGGGCTCGAAACAAAATCAGTACCAATTTCTTGAGATTTTGAGCGATGTCCTCATGAACGATGACCTTGTCTAGCGATTTAGGTCTGTACTTGTCTACCCACAACATTTTGCTCACCACCGAAGAGGTTTGGTGAAGGCAAATGGAAGTGGCGGGAAATAGTGAATCGTCTTCGTCCTCCTCTACACACTCAGCAGCCTCTTTCGGGAAAACGTATTTTAGCTACTCATTCGCTTTACGCCTCCCCACGGCGATGCGTAAGCCTCTTTCTCTTTTAGAGTCTTTAGAAGTTCACTCGATTTTAAGGTTTCGGTGGAAAACTTGATTATACGGTTTTGACTAAAATACTATTTTTAAAGTTTTGGTAAATTTTACGATTTTGGTCGAAAAACATAATTATATGATTTTTTTTTAACACTGAAAATGTATTTTATTTCAAATAGTCGATCCATAAATACAGTTTACCGAACAACAGTAAAATTACATAATAGATTAGAAACTAACAAATCTACACACACCAGTAGGGGTTATGGTAAATGATTAAATTCTAATGAAAGATCACACACTGATCACCACTATTGAAAAAACATAATAGTGTACTATGATGTGAAAGAGGATAAACAGTTTGAAGATAAACCAAAGCTAACTGTATTTTTATCTCTTCACCATTTCTACGTATCAGATCACGAGAAGAACACTGAATATAAGGAGGTGTTGTTGTGTCTCCAATAAGAAGAGCACACCATCTACCTTTGGATTTGGCAACTGACCGTTGAACTTCCAATCCGGAACAAAGCCAATTCACGGTTCAGAACACTGAAATAAACAATTATTACACGATTGCAAATCTTTTCTGGAACTGCACAAACTACATAGACGACAAGAACAACCAATCTACGCCAATGCTCAGGTCTATCAACACAGAAAAAAACACCACATCTAATACTGTAAGCATTACTACCGGAGACTAAAAGAAGAAAAACAACAACCCTGAAACTCTAAGCACCACAAGAACCACACGCTGGGGACATAGAACCATCTGTCTATACCACATGCCATGCCATAGAAGACCACGAGATATGCTCAAGAAGGAAAACCAGACGATTAGGAGCTGTCGTCTCAAGCATACTGAAACCCACCGAGTATCACTAGATCTGAAGCGAGGGACACCAGATCTGAAGTAGGGGACACTAGATCTGAACCCACAATTAACTTTCATCAGCCAGGAAAAATCCAAATTTACAAAGAGAACAAAGAGAAACAAAGAAAATAGAAAGAGAACAAACAAAGATAGATGAAAGATCCGGCGGCTGCAGAAAACAGAGATAGCGGCCATATAATTATAAGATTTTAACAAAAAAAATTAATTTTATAGTTTTTACGGAAAAAAAAAAATAATTTTGTGGTTTTAACCAAAACAAACAATTTATATGGTCTGTCGATGTATGTAATGTCTTGTTTCCTTCTCCCATTGGAGATCTGTGAGAATTTAGCTAGTGCCATTGCACAGTTCTGGTGGAGCTCAAATCCGCCAAAAAGAGGTATGCACTGGTCAACATGGGATAAACTTTGCGTACCTAGAGAAGAAGGTGGAATCGGCTTTAGAATGATTCATGAGTTCAACCTTGCGTTATTACCAAAACAATTATGGAGACTGGCCCAGAACCCGTACTCTCTGGTAGCTCGAGTAATGAGAGGCCGGTATTACAGATTGAGTACGCCTTTGCGTCAAATCAGTACTAGTAGCCCATCATATGTGTGGACAAGTATCTCGGCTGGTAGGGAATTATTATTACAAGGAATTAGACAAAAAATTCATTCGGGATATGAAGTTAAAGTCTGGGAGGATCCTTGGATACCTACCATACCTGCGAGACCAGCAACCCCATTGGCTCCGGTTATGCACCTGAATATGAGAGTGAGTGATTTGATTGATCAAACAACGAAGTCTTGGGATGACAGTCGTCTTCACGACTATATAGATGCTGCTGACATACCACTTATCAAGAGTTTGGCCAGTAGCTCCATGCATCGGCGAGATACGTTCTGTTGGAGTTACACGAGGAGTGGGCAGTATACTGTTAAATCTGGGTACTGGGTAGCACGAAATATCTTGAGAAAGGAAGAAGATCCTGAAGTACGTGAGCCTAGTATTACAAAACTTCAAGCACATGTTTGGAAGGTTAGAGCCCCCCAGAAGATTTGCCATCTTATGTGGCAAGTAATAACTCTTATGTGGCAGGTAATAACATGGCATATGGCTGTTACGAGTATTTTAAATTATAAACATATGAGATGTAACAACCATTGCCCTCGATGTGGGGAACCAGAGGAGACGATCACACATGCAATATTTGAATGCCCACTTGCGTTACAAGTTTGGGCGCTATCATTTACGCCTACCAACCCTGCTATGTCCATGTACAAAGCACGTACACGAATATGGACTATCTATTCTGGAGGAAAAATGTGATAATGGAACCAGAATTAGATAGGGATCCTTATCCTTGGTTAATCTGGTACATTTGGAAGGTTAGGAATGACAAGCTCTTCAAAGGTATTGATAGGGACCCATTGGAAGTAGCACGATATGCAGAAAGTGAATGCCAGGCGTGGTTTAAAGCAAATGAGCAGGAAATTTCGTCTCCCATTGGGAGTGGAACTGATGAGGACCAAACCTTAAGTTTGGGTAATATTTGCATGGTGGATGGATCTTGGATTTCTACAAATACTTTCAGTGGATGTGGATGGATGTTGATTGATAACTCCGGAAATAGTAACCTCATGGGATTGCGTAACTTTGATCGAGTGGAATCGGTGTTGCATTCAGAATTGGAAGCACTGCGGTGGGCAATGGAGAATATGCTTCGACATTCGTCATGTCATAGCTTTGGAACTGATTGCAAGGAGATGGTGGAGATGCTCAAGAATCCTCATGCATGGCCTAACTTCTCAACAGAGCTGGAAAAGCTGGAGACTTTGAAGATCTGCTTTCCTGGATTCAAGATATGTTATGTACCTAGAGCACAGAACGGTGATTCTGATTCTCTAGCTAAGACAGTTAGATCTTTTTATCGTAAGCTGTATGTTGGTTGTTCTATTCCGGTCTAGATTCTCAGACCACCTCAAGTGCCTTGGGTAATAGATCAGGCGTTTGATGTCAAAAAAAAAAAAAACAATTTTTATGGTTTTGAAGAAAAAAAATAATTTTACGATTTTGACAGAAAAAATTAGTTTTACCTATTTGACAAAAAAAAATTATAATTTTCAACTTTCTAATTGACAAAAAAGAAAATTATAATTTTCCAATTTCTTAAATTCAAATATCTAAACTATTAAAATTGAAGTACAATTTGAAATTAACCCTAAATATTTCTTAATATTTACATTCAAATGCCATTGGCCTTAATTGCCTTTAATGATGTCGTAAATATAGTCATATTCTCCTAAGTTTAAGCTAACTAAATATTATTGATAACTCTATCTAACCTCTTCATCCTAACAATACTCTATCGTGTGTGTATCTTCTCTCTTTTTTTTGGGTGCAAAAGCATATCCCAATTAAATTGTTATGATCTCTTTGCTGACTCCTCCCCCACCCCCACATATTGCCCTTCTTTTTCATTTTCATTACTATATTTCTTTATCGAATTTAATGCAAAAATCAATTTATGTATTTTATTTGTATTTATTTGGGAGTTATTGTTAAATATTTGCATCTTTTCCATAAACACAATTTTTTTTTTCTAACAAATTATTATTTTTAAACAGACAAAATTTTTAAGAATATTCTCTATTATTAAAAACTGGATCAGTTGTTAAAATCATGCTCAGTCCTTTTTGAGAATAAATATAATAAATATTTCCTATACATTATTTTACCTAGAAATAAATTATATATCTATATAATTAAGACTAAAATGTATTTTTAAAATATCCATTATTCCACTTTAATATTTATCAACTTATACCACTGAATTAATAACTTCTAATTAATTAGTTATTTTGTTAGATTCTTCTTTATCCAAATTTACCAAATTTATTTAATTAATAAAAAATCATTTATTTTATTAGATATTCACTAACCAAACTTACCAAAATTACAATTATCTTCTGACTGAATAATTTTGGGTAACCAAATTTTACAATAAATTAAACAAATTTATTTTAAATGTGATTACAAACTTTAAATGTTATATATTCATGTATATTATTATTTCATTTTACATAAAATATAATTATAAATGTTTGTGTTAAAACATATAAAATTATTTTCAAATATATTTTTAAACAATTTGATGATTCCTATAATCACATAATATATATATATATATATATATATATATATATATATATATTTGAATTATAAGAATACAAAAAAATACATTTTAATCCCTTAATATTTTCCTTTAAAATGAACATAGAAGTATAATTTATTTGGTATATAAAAAACTTAGAGAAATATCTATCAATCAAATTAAAACATTACTACACTTTATTTTGGAAAGATATATTTATTAATAACAATATAATAGTTGGTATAAATAAATACATCAAAATGGTTGATATAATCACAAATAACAGAAGAATGTGTTATAAAACATGTTATTTTGATTAATTTTATATTCAACTACAATATGAATAATTAATAAATTATAGACAACTAAAAATTGCCAATTTATCATAATATTATATATTATAAATCGAATAAATATCTATACTGGTGCATGTTTCTGCAACATTTGATTAGTTTCATATGTTTATTTTATTAAATAAATACCCGTGCGGGTGCACGGGTCAAACTCTAGTTTTAGTTATTTGGATCGACCAATGTGTAGATGGTCCATTCCTACATAGATAATTACCCTCTAGTTTCCGGTTTCCACAGCTTTGTATATCGTTTCAAATCGGGTTGCTGATAGATGAATAATTTATAGAGAACATTTGATCAATTTGTATATCAAAGAACTCTTATGAAACTAAAACTGACAGGAGAAAAGGATATAAGATCTCAAATTTATATATTCAGCTCATTGTGATTAATTTTATATATTCAGCTCAAAGTGAAATCAAAGACATAAGAACTCTTAAAATGCGAGTGTAGCCAGTAGCATGACAAGTAGAAGCGATTGATTTGTTCCAGCCAAATAAACAGATAGATGTTGCATCAACCACGGCCACGACCTGCTCCTGTTTACACAACATATTATAGTTTAGTTTAAAATCCCATTGTAGCAAATGTAGAACTATGAAGAAGATCATCAATGGTTTTTGGTGTAGTCTAGTAAAATCAGAATTTTGTGACAGCCATTGGTGATAGATTTACCTCTGTTGCCGCTCATCTTCGCCATTGAAGCTCCTCGGCCGCGCCCTCTGGCGCCTCCATCATCCATACCACGTCCTCTTCCACGTCCAACACCTGGTGGTTTTCTATCTGCAAATATTTAAATAACTATCAGGAACTGTTTGCTTCTGTCTGAAAAAAGATACCATATAGACATGAGAAAACTAAACCTGTGCGGGTCTTCTCCTCCTGAACTTTATCAATCACCTGAACAGAGAAGATTCAATATAAGTAAATAATCTAGTTTGAAGTATATTGTACAAGATGTAAGAACATAAATAGAGAGCTTATGAGTGTCACTTTCAGATATCTAGAATGTTGTTAACAAAATATAATTGATCACAGAGGGATCGAATAAAGAGAATATTCAAAGATATAGAGTTCTGGCTTAATAAATACAAAACAAGTGAGTCAATAATCTGGTCAGGCAAAACCCATTCTCTGTGATATCGTCCAAGACACGCTTCAACAAGAGGCAAGCCATGTTTTGAACATGGTACAATGCCTCTTGGAGCACATATCTGATTTGGCTAAGCATCATCACTCCAGAGAAGAAAATAAATATATAAAAAAAGAAAGAATAAAACTATATAAATCAAGAGGCATATAGACAAGAGTATAATACCTCATCTGGAACTCGAAGGTATTTGATCGTGTTACCACGGATGTAACACTCCGGCATCCTCCAAAATCTGTCTCCGTCCTACAGCGTAATCAAGAGACAAACCAACGCATCTTAGTGGCAACCACACAAATTTTCATGAGGAAATACAATAAATTATATAAACTTTGATCAATGTATGAAAGCAGAAGATAACCTTTGATGTGCAGATGACTTCACGCAGGTGAATGTTCATCCACGTATCACAATTCACTAAATGCCCATTGTACGTCTCTCCATTCTTGAGCTCCACAAGCTAACAAAACGATCAAAACATCAAAAAGATGTAAGCTTTAAATGAAAAAGAAATCTCCTAATGCACACAACTTTCATATAGACTAGCCCTAACGCAACATCTCAAATTAAATAGTACCTACTTAACTTCTGCTCCATATATTACAAAACATATAATCAAGGGTTCGAATTTAACTTACCATGGGATGCCCTTGAGCAGTCTTTAGCAGCGAAAGAGGAAGCTACACAGATCAAATACAAAAGCTTAGAGTCGAAAACAACACAGTACGAAAAAAACTCAAGTTACAGTATAAGCCCATCAAGTAACTTACCATCTTCTCGAATCAAAAGATTTGGAGATCCGTAAAAAACCTGATCACATAAAAGAATACAGCGTTAAACCAACGCGGAAGAACAATAGAGGAAAAAAACCTAACAAATCAGAAGCAAAGAGAGAAACCTTGATATCAGAAGATCAGCTTCCTCTTCAACAAGAAGGCGGACACTTTCAGAGGAGAGAGAAGTGATGAGGAAGAAAGAGAGAGATCGAAGACGACGGAGGCGGCGAAAATTTCGAAATCGGTTTCCTTTTTCTACCTCTCTAGTTGGGATCTGACGGTGGATGAATTTCTAATTAGGTCAAATAGGAAAATATTATTAACACCAGTTATTAGATGAATATTCACGAACATTGCAACAAGTTCAACAAATCCGATGTCGTCCAGCGGTTAGGATATCTGGCTTTCACCCAGGAGACCCGGGTTCGATTCCCGGCATCGGAGCTTTTTTTGCTTTTTCAAATTCAATTAAATATAAAACCAACATTGGGTCTTGGCCCGTTTAAAGAACTTTAGGGTTTGCTTTTTCAAATTCAATTAAATATAAAACCAACATTGGGTCTTGGCCCGTTTAAAGAACTTTAGGGTTTTTTCCAATTAAGTATAAGCGTTGTGACTTCTCAATTTTTACGTTTTTCTCTTCCATTGCCGCAGTTGCTTTGCTTCTCCTCCTCAGGTAATATATATACTCGAACCAATTCTTCTCTGTTTGCTGTTTCATTCATATGCCATGCTAAACCCTAGGAGCTTTCTTAACTTCACTATAACCTTAAAGCTATGTGGATACTTTCACTAGCAATCATTAAGACCTCAGTTTTTTTAAAAAAATAGTTATGCGTAAATGTTAGTTATACTCTAACATAATTGTTATGTGTTCTGTCTACTTACTCATCAAGGTATCTTCAAGATGCAAAACGAAGAGGGTCAGGTCACGGAACTATATATTCCTAGGAAATAGTAATACGAATATTTCTCCTTATTCTAATTCTGTAAATTGATTTGTTATGTAGTCTCTTCATAGCCATCTTTATTAACAGTTGTTTTTGTTTTATATCTGAAACTACAGCTCTGCTACGAATCGGATGATCACATCAAAGGATCATGCCTCTGTGCAATTGAACATTGGTCATTTAGATGCTGATGGCATCTACACCGGACAATTCACAACCTTAGCTCTCTGCGGTTTTGTTCGTGCTCAGGTTTGTCATACACTTATCTGGAGTCTTGTTGTATTACCGCAATCGCAATTGGTTTTGTCTCTTGAAGATTGGAATAGTTGAGAAAACTCGCCCCTTTTTTTATAAGCATTTTTGTGTTTTGAGTTTTTTTAAAAGATATAAAGACTTGTCATCTTGAGCAAACACTGCAACTATGGTTAATCTTCATTGGATTGACTATTAATTCACGACGATGAACTGTACTGCAGGGAGATGCTGACAGTGGCGTGGATAGGCTGTGGCAGAAGAAGAAGGTCGAAGCCAAACAAATCTAAGGAGCCTTACTAATCTGTCTTTTTGCTTTGTTCTGAATGTTGTTATTTAGTTAAAAAGATCGTCAAACAAATTGAAGTAATGATATTTGTTTTTTTTTTTTGTGCACTAAGTAATGATATTTGCTTGACTCTTGGTTTCAATCCTTCTTGTCCACGGGCTTGTTCTGACTTTCCTCTAGTAATATCATATCTTCACAATTTGTCAAACCATTCTTATTTTCGAACAATCTTGGGATATAGACGAAGCAGAACCAAATGATATCGGAAAAAACAAAGCCTGAATATTCCACCAGTTAACTGGCGAGATTGTAGGAGATTAAACCGAAAACTATGATAGAAGAAAACTGAACACTCCACCACATGGTCTTGTTTGTTTTGATGTTACTGCGTCATGCAACCAAATGTTTGTTTGTTTGCATACTGTAGGATCATGCTATCAATGCAACCAAATGTTTGTTTGTTTGTATAGTGTATCATGTTTTAGGTTTTTGATTTTCAAAATCCATATTATCATCCAATCAAAATTTTAAGAAATAGATTTCCCAAATTTAGAGAAATTAGTTTTTGTAATAAGTACATGATTCTAATCAAAAACCAAAAGATTGTTTTCTTTAGTTTTCTAGCAATACTGGGTGTTTTGTCCACACATACTTACATAATAATTTTACAAATATTTGTATTATAAATGAAATATTATTAGAATAAATTATTGATCGTATGTTCAAAAGTATTTACTATTAAATTGAATATATATACAAATATATATATATATAAGTTCTCATCATAATATTAATGTTATTTATTACGTAAAATAAAAATTTAAGATACCCACGCGTTTAAAATATTTAGAAATAAATTAAATATCAAATTATTTCCACATGAAAAAGTTTTTCATTATAATAAAATTATATTTTATTGAATAAAACAAACTTGAAAATACTTATGTATTCATAAGATTATATAGAGGTTTATCTTTCCTTTTAATTTTTAGAGTATTATGAGGTAAAACTTTTTTTATAACACAAAACTAGATTTTGACCCGCGCTTAAGAAGCGCGGGTATTTTTTTTGTTGGCCGTAAAGACAAATATTTCGGAATAGATACTTTAATAGGTTTTCATGGTCTTTATAAATTTGATTGAGTTGATGGTAAAAGGGATCCGAGATACCTTATATTTATAAAAGAAGAGGGTTGTTGTCAATTTGGGTTAAGAGAAGATATGAAAGAGTATTTTGTAATCAATTTAGGTTTTCCAAAATCATGATTGAAAAAATAAATAGGTGCTTTTTAATTTTTTGGTTGATATAATTAAGGTAAATTAAATAATTGGTGTAATAAATTAACTTGTAGATGAGGTAATTTAGATTTTGACATGCGCTTCTTATGTTTTTACTGACCGTAAAGTCAAATATATAATAAATTTATGTCTATATTATTAGATATCTATAATAATTAAAAAATTTTCTATTATTTTATTTCAGTCTTGTAAAATTAATAAAATGAATATGGTAAAAATATTCTTAAAGTAAAAATATTGTTATTAACCCATTGAGAAGCATGGTTTCTATTTTTCGATTATGCACAAATGGGTACTTAATTTTTAAAATTGTTAAAAAAATTTAAACAGAATTAAATTAAAAAAAATTTCATAAATAATCGATCATATCATATATCTCTAGAATCTAAAAATAGAAATCGAACCGAGAACCAAATGGTTACTTAATTTTTTTATGTCTAAATTATATACCTACAAATATTAATTATATATAATTTCTAAATACTAAATAACCTAAAATACTATTTTTAAACCAAAAATTAGGCAAATCAATGAATTACTTGAATATTTTTATCAAAAAAATTCAACCAATCTGATATTTAAATCGTAGGCTAGTTTACATTTAAAATTAAATAAATGTATATCATGTAAATTAAATAAACATATCTTATTAGTATCATTTTTTGACCAATTTCGTTTGAATCTCCAACTTATAATGTTTAGACCTATATAATTTTTATATATCATAAAATTAATCATTTAGTTCTTGTATAAGAATGTAATATCAAAATTTAATAATTGATTGCATATAATTAATTAAACCAAACTGTCATAGTTATAATATCATGAATATTATTGTTAGAGAAATTTTATAATAGATTATGGAAAGTAATAAATGAGTTTATTTAAATTGTAAAGTATTTATATAGTTAGAGAAATATAAGTGAAGACCAAAAATGTTAGTCTAATGAAAGGGTGCAAACAACTTTTTTTAAGTAGATTTATTTAGACTCATTCTCTTTTAATAGTATAGATAAACTATTTTATATTATAATAACTATTAAATTAATGAAATTCATTTTCAATTTATAGTTAACTGTATACTAAAAAATTCAATAAACTTGAAAATACTCATGTATAATAAAACTATATATAGGGATGTATCTTTCTTTTTGATTATTTAAAAATTTTAAAGGTAAAATAATATTTGGATAACACAACATAACTTATTTTTGTATAATGATAATTATTAAATAAATGGAATTTGTTTTTAATTTATTTCTAATTATATATTAATAAATTTAGTTATTCATTAAGGTTAATAAGGACTCGACATAATATAATCTTTTTAGTATAATTATTAAATTAATACAAAAATTAATTTATGATTAATTAATTATATATTAACAAATTTAGTTAATTATTCATTAAGGATAGTAATGTATTTAACCATTCTAATTTTTAATGTATGAGCTCAAACGAAAAAGAAAATCACTTCGTAAATAATTAAATTTATTAAAGACTTTTAGATGATAATAGTTATTAAATTAATAAATAATAATTTTCGGTTAATTAATTATATATTGACAATTGAATTAATTATTCATTAATTGTTGTAATATATTTAACTGCTCATATTTTATGTGTTTGAATTCGAATTTGAACCTTTAACCTCTAGGAAAACATGTAAGCTATACACCAAACCATTAGAGCTACAATAGAATTTTTTAAATAATGGCTGAAAATGTACTTAATTTTCTAGAAGGCCGGAAGTACATGCTTCCATGGCTTCCCTTAAGGGCCGCTACTGCCCATTGAAACTCATATTTGTGTTGGATCTGAGCAGCTTGGCCCTTTCGGAAAGTTGGAGCATTCAATGTCTCCTCGTCCTGGTACATCATTTTGCCCATGTGATCTCTGCTGGCTCTGTCGTCAAAGGTCATAGTAGAGTTGTTCCTCCCTTTATCGGGTTTATGGTGGGTTTGAGGATCTCAGTGGTCTTTAGAGCATCTCCATCAATGGTTCTTGGTCATGGGGTTTTAAAAATGTGTATATGTGTACATATATGTTGTATGTGTGTATGTAAGCATGGGGTCCACTGTTTTGTGGAGAACTCCACCCTAAAGGTCCTCAAAACATTGTTTTAAGGACTTTTAGGGTGGGGTTCTCCACAAAACAGTGAACCCCATGCTTACATACACACATACAACATATATGTACACATATACACATTTTTAGAACCCCATGACCAAGAGCCATTGATGGAGATGGTCTTAGTGTCTCCCTTTTTCGCTTTGGTCTTGCCAGCTACTTAGGGTTTAGAGGATAGACCCGGCGTGGCTCTAATTCGAGGTGTTGGGAAGCTCTTCTCACGGGTTTATTTACCCTTTTTGAATAATCTCACGACTTCTACAGATCTTTCACTTTTTGGTTGAAGCTTTAGTTGGACGCCCAGGTGCGAATTTGTTGTTTTACATCATCGCTTGAGGCAGTCTCATCATCGTGTGGCCGGTTCCAGAGCCACCTACCACATATGCTTGACCTGAGCATATCCCATGGTTCAGTGCATCTTCGTCTCGTGAAATTGAGTTTGGTTTTCATATAAGGGTTCTAGTTTTATATATGCTTTGAAAAGATTTAATCATTTGTGTTCGTGTTTAATGGTTCTATTGATTATCGTAGAAGGGTTATCATTTCTGTAGTTTTGTATGTGCTTTGAAAAGCTATCATCTTTTGGCTTCCTGTTTCATGGCTCTAATGAGTACTTCTGTATCTTGATTATTTTTTGAAACTGAGTTTGATTATCATATAAGAGTTCTCTATTTTTGTATGTGCTTTGAAAATAAACCATCCTTCATTTCTGTTATTTTATTGTGACCAAGTTGTTCCCTGAGGGTTTAAATGTTTTACTTGCCCGGATTGATAAAAAAAATTTGAGTCATGGATAATTTGTGCATATGATTGAATGGTTTGTCTTGTATCTAAGCTTGAAGTGTGAAAGGTTTTAGTAAAGCTTTGTTTTGGTGTTTAGATTGTAGAATGAGTTTTTTTTTTTTGAATTTGTTGTCTTTGGATTGTAGATCTTTTGTACAAGAACTACCAAGGAGACCAAGTCAAGAACAAGAACTTCACTGCTGATATCAAAGTTGCCTCTGATTCTTCTGTAAGCATATAATGCTTTATTTGACTTGTTGCTTACAGCTTTATGGATAGTAGTATTTATTATAAAGGTTTTAGTATTATAATCAGTGGATGTATTAGGGTTTCTTTCTCGACTACTCTAAGCTTGAAGCTTCTTTCTGTTCAATGCCATATTGTTTCCACTGATTATAATACTTTCTCGACTTTGCTAAAACTCAAAAGGAAGTATTGATGAATATTTCCACTGATTATGATCTTGTATTGAATTTCAGGTTGCTGGATATGGAAAACGAAGAAGAATATCCATATACATCAACGTGTACATCTTCTATTACTGGAAAGAGAAGAAAAATATCGAATATGTAGAAATATTCAGAGTATAAAAGGATGAGAATGAGGAAAAGAGAGCATATTGTCGGAAATGCTCAAAG